GAACACAGTCCGCTGTGGCGGGAGCTTGGTTGAGGCAGGCGGCTCCTTGTTATGGCCAGTACCATTGGGGCTCCTATGCGGTGGGTTTGCTACGTCTGCCCGACTCTATTTGATTGATTATAAATCCTACCGTATCTCTTGTTCTACTATARAGTGTTGAGRAGCCAACTGACTAGCATGYTGGGYGGCCTACCAAGGAAAGTGGCTAYGAACCGGTCYGAGGGTTGCGTGTTTGCTGGCCAGATTACRTAACTGGCGATACCAGGMCTCGAAGCTGTGGCAGTTTCTTTTGCTGCTCCCCTCGAGTGAACCTCACGGCCTGCCGTGGCTRCTRAATGYCGTGCACGAATGGCTGGTATTCCCGCTAACAGTGAGCAGGTTGYTGTCTGCTGCACCCRGRCCCAGACTATAGCTATGGCCGTGGGTGATTATRAACAGGYTGTGGCTGTGCACTGCCCACAGGCTGTTGCCACCAGGGGAGGAGGCAGTGTTCTGCCCCTCTCTACTGCGACCCGCGGACTGTGCGCGAGAAATTGTTGTTTACCACAGGCTGGSCACGGACTTTTGCTACGAGTTGCTRTTGACTGARTAAAGTTGTTGACCAAGCTGATACATTGGCTGCCATTGCGGGGCCCTCAGGCGATAAAAGATAACAAGGCCCTCTCCAGTGAGATTGAGAGCACCCCTCTTGTATATGAGAGTCTCAAACCTTCTGCTTCTACCCTTCTTACTCTAAGTCTAGTCTTGTGGTTTTGAGAGGAAGGCGGCAGGCGGGATTGCAACCCGTAGGTCTGCATCAAGACTCTGTGGGGAGTCCACCCACCGATTACGKSAGCCCTGCCGGAACCTAGGCGAGGTTCGGGAGGCAGAGAATTATCAGGTATACCATCTCCATCCGTACAACCTACTWCTACCCATGTTTGCTTATCTCCCTGTAGTATGATTGCGGTATGCATGTATTGTCCCTATGATTATTGTTTTCCCTTCAGGACCGATCAGACTAACTGGAAAGAATGTGTGAGAGTGAAGCCTAAGTTTCTACTTTGTTCTGATTGAAAGCAGACTAAGGATGAATTGGGGGAAGGTGGAAGGAAGGTAGACTTCATGCGTTTGACCGGGTCAACCAAAGCCTGAGCATTGTTTCTAATGTGAATGGCTCAGGGCTATGTTTATTTGGCTGTTTTCTGAAGGACCAGACATTGTTTCTATTATGAATGGCCTGCTCGCTGTGTTTATTTGATTGTTTTCTAAGGAACCAGGCATTGTTTCTACTGTGAATGGTCTGGCTACCTTAGTTAACTCTGAGGGTTTGTCTGATTGAAAGGGGTTTAAATTCTTGTTTATTCTGAGGGAGGATTTTTKGTCCAAGGCTAAGCATTGTTTCCATGGTGAGTGGTTTAGCCTKAAAACCATGCACATAATTTAAACGAAGTATAAAGGAAAGTATTTTATGTATATTTGCATGTGAACTGGCAGCTGGGCATTGTTTCTACTGTGAATGGTCCAGCGTTAAGCCATATTATTAAGAAGAGAAAAAGAAAAATACAAAGTATAAATGGAAATAATTTGGGCAAGCTGAATATTGTTTCTACTGTGAATGGTTCAGTCCCCTKCCCATATTTGCTTTTTCKTTTGAAAACAAAGTCAGAGAAATACTAAATTTTTGGATATTAAACAGCTCAGGGCAACTAGGCATTGTTTCCATGGCGAATGGCCTAGTCATCTGCCCAAAAGAAGAAATAAGTAGTTGTGCAACCTGTTCGTGTATATCATGAAGACTAGTTGGGCATTGTTTCTATGGCGAATGGTCCAGTTCTATGTCTTATGTAAGATGGGTATAAGGATTCAAGGACTTGAAGATTCATGAACTATCTATATGGAATAAACTTGGGGTGGTGAGAGTACTTACATTTGTGGTTTGGTTTGCATGTGACTGGATGGGATGACTATTTTTTTAAGTTTTATTACTATCAGTAGTTGCTTTAGTTGCTCGCCACGTGCTAGAGCCATAGGAGTTAGTGTCAATTCCTACTTTTTCTGTAATAACTTTTTTTTTACTTAGGTCATTGCCTGCATTTTCTGATACATTTTTCTTATACTTGGCTTTGTATAAATCTTGGCAAGCTACTTTTCCTACGGGAAGCGCTGCCGAAATTTCTACAAATCCAAGAAGTTAGTCAACTTGACTTGTCAGAGTTCAACCTGTCCTTTCCATATATCTGGCTTAGTTAAAATCTGGGAAGTCTCCCTTTCTAAAGGGAGTGCTGCCCAAAATTTTGCTAATTCAGGGAGTTAGACAAAATTGAACTTTGGGAAGTCAAAATTACTCTTAAAATGTTAACTTAGTCTTGTATAAATTTTGGAATAACACTTTTTTTAGAGGGAGTGCTGCCGAAATTTCTGCAAGACTGAGGAGTTAATTAAATCTTATCTAAATTGGACTCAAGTTTATCTTGTGAGTTCAAACCTGACTTAGTATAAATCTGGGAAGTCTCCCTTTGTAAAGGGAATGCTGCCCAAATTTTTACTAATTCAGGGAGTTGGACAAAATTTGGCTTTCCAGAGTTAGAAATTATTTATATTTTTCATATTTAGACTTGTATAAATTCTGGAAAGACACTTTTTCTACGGGAAGCGCTGCCGAAATTTTCTAAGTTTAAAGGAGATAGACTATATTTTGACAGGTGACAATTTAGGCAAATCCACCCAGAATAGGGGAGATTTTGTAGTTGGTCTACCTTTAGCTTAAGCATTTGGTTTAAAAGTAGACTTAAGTTTAGCTTATAGGGAGATTTTGAGTGAGGATGTATTATGGAGTTGTATTCTCCATACACTTATGATCTTAGCTTGGGGATTGGTCTGCCGTGTGTTACAGGTTTTTTTTTCAAGTTCAGGGCTAGATCCAGTTTSATCATTTTGAGGATCACTTTCTGTTATCACTGATAACAGGTCGGTTGCCRATTCGTCGGTCTACGACTCAATTTCAACTCCCCCTCCACMYYCAACCTAAAAGGCTTTAGCCCTGGTGATCTTCGTTGTTTTATTAAGGTTTTCACCCGGACTTTTATTGAATGGCCATTTAACAAAGGTACTGAGTATTTAATTAAGGTTGCTTGGACAGGAGGGTTTGGGGCTTGTATRGCTAAAGCGAGGGGTATGAGTGTCGAAGGTGGTTGGGGTTGACTCCGTGTAATGTGTGGGTTGTTGATTTGGTTCGTTGATGTGACTGCAGGTATGTGCTGTGAGTCAGATTCTGAATTTGGTTGCCTGAGATCACACATATACGTATTATTGTGAGAAACCCCAGTGAGACAGTGAAAAGTGATCGCCACATACTTAACCCTTATATAYGTATACATGGGTATACTTGGGATGAATGTTTCCATGGGTTGAAGAGTCCCCATATTAAAGCCYCACTCAGAAGCTGGGACTGAGGAATTTAGGGGAGACCCCTATTTATACTTTTGTTCCTGCTTTTTGATGATTTTTTTTAGTCGAACGTTTGGTCCTGGGCCGGGATTCGAAGTCCTTGTCCAGGACACCCCAAGCCCTAGGCTCTGCAGAGGACGGGTTTTCCCTCGCGGAGGGCCTATTTGATTTGCCTACCGAGACACTCTGGCCAAGAGCCAGAGGTATCGCAGCGGCTACACGGCTATTCCTTCAGTCGTGCAATGTCATGAAGGGTTAGGCCCTCACGACACTTCAAGTTAGATTCTCGAGTGTCATAAGCGGTACTCGATTTCACGAGAGGCCGCTTGATTATGGGCACTGCATAGTATGCCATCATTGCGACTGCTTGCGTACAATTGCATTTGCGAGTTGAAATGCGATAGCCCTGCGTCCTCGTGGTTTTATACCTAGTCTCGCGCGCGACGCCTATTCGATTTCCGCGTTAGAAAGTTATGGGGTGACTACCAAGGGGCTAGGAGCATTGTCGCGTTGTTTGTGTTGTGTCGACTCGTATATGTGTTGTTTTGTGTGCATGTGTATTCGTAAAGTGGAGTGCGCGTGGTGTGTGGGATTCGTYCTAGTCGACCGACGACGGGTCGCGATTGGGACCTCAGCCCCCCCAAGATGCCGATTCGCGTGCGGGTTCGATAGAGGCGTATTACCGCGCGTACCCCCTATGCTACAGCGAACGAGAAACGCCCTCGGTTGGTCCACCTCTGCGATTGCAACTAATTAACTTTCGTACTGTAGGCTGGTAGCTCGGCGGGGATACGCCCACCGAAGGGAGGTGACAGCTCCCGTAAGGTGTAGGTAAGTCGTGCCTCGTGTAGGCCCTATCCTGTCGTAGGGGCTCACGAGAGGTATGGCTGACGCACTCGGCCGGAGCGGCTTGTGGAAGCTCCATGTATATTACGACGAAGGGTTTTAAAACCAACTCCTGCGTGACGCGGCCGGGAGGGTCCCGCGCTGGCCTCGTGCAGTGCCGGATCGATGCGCCCGACAGGTGGCGCCGTTGCCGGGGATAACGGAAAGCCTACCGTTGTCCCTGGTGGAATGACATCCGAGTATGAGAAGTGAATAAGAAAAGGCATAAAGGAGTGATGAGAAGGTAATGAAGGAATATATGAATGACTAAGTGTAGGTGAGAAAATTTACCTACCCAAGTAGAGGAAGTATGAGGGACGATCGTGTTAACATTTGGGTAAAGTAAGTATTAAGGGTTAGGTAGGACGGATGGAATAGACCGGTCAAGGTACAATGTTGAATAAGGGGATGTGCTTGTTTTCTTTTGCCATGGAACTTAAAAAGAAGAGGCTGTCAAGATGCCTGAGACTGGCGGCGCATCAGTTGTTCCCAAGAAGGGCCTGACACTCGATGACCTCATCGCTGCCATCGACCGACATGAAAGGAACCCGAGCAACATCCCAAAGGTCGATACTTTCYATTTCTGTGGGGAGAGAGTCTCTGAATGGCTATGGAACAAGCTTTGGTCGGACGGTCGGATGTTGTAAAGTTTCAACGCATCCTTCAGTATATCCTCCACAGCTACCATCAGGAGGTGAAGAAAGTCATAGATGCGGCTCAAGGTAGCTGGGAGAGGTTCAAGGAGGGGATGCAGAGGAAATACCGCCTGGAAGACGGGTTGTTGACTACCGCGGACCTTGAAGCGATGAACAAAGAGGATTTTACGACCGTAGGGGCCTTTGTTCAAGAATTTAAGAAGAGGGCGCGGAAGGTCCATGGGATTTCGGAGGAACCACAGTGCGCCATCTTCCTGGGGCTACTCACAGCGTCGGAAGCCGTCGAGTTGACGAGACATGGAGGAGGTAGCACTAAGCTYACCTGGGCCACCATTGACAGAGGGGTGGAAGTTGGGTGCTTGGACCAGGTGGAACAACGTGAGGTACACCTGCAGAGGCAGAAGAGAAAGAAAAGAGATGCGACCGCTTCTGGGACCCCGGGGGTAACAAGGATTGTTACAGACGTATTGGCACAACTAGGGTATGTGACAGAGCCGGTGGTGCAAAGGAGGGTGGTGACGGCTGTCAAAGTAAAAGGAAAAGAGCCAGTGATAGAGGAGGTTGTTCAGGAGGAGCTATGGGAAGAGGAAGAGTCGGTGCCGCAGCACCTTACGAAGGTCAAGCGCAAAGTGCGTAATTTGGCGCAGGGCGGACAGGGATCAGATAAAGCGCAGGCGCCTCAGGCCTAGGCAGCAGCCCCTTTAAATGTGGCGGCTCCATCATCTAGTACGGGCCCCTCGCGAGGTAGGGTGCCCTCCTACGGACAGTGACCCTGGCCGGTGATCAATGCAATTGTGCCATGGGGAAGCCTGCCGCCAGTAGCCGGACCGCAAACGAGTATGCCACCACCCATCTACCCCGCGGCCCAGGCCCAACCTGTGGCCCCGCCACTGTCATCTGATCCCAGTTCAAAAGGGCAGTGTTGTAGGAGGTGGGAACCAGGGGCAGGGCAATCAAGGCAGCGGAGGGAGGGGTGGAGGAAGGGGGCGAGGCAAGAATGGCGGCGGAAGAGGAAGGCAATGGAATGGCCAAGGCCAGGGGTACCAAGGTCAAGGGAGTCAAGGCCAGGGGTACCAAGGCCAAGGGAGTCAAGGCCAGGGGTACCAAGGCCAGGGGTATAAAGGCCAGGGGTATCAAGGCCAGGGGAAGTCAGGGGTATGGAAGACCCCGTTTTGACTGGAGGACGGCCATCTGTCAACATTGTGACCAGCAAGGCCACACTATAAGGTTCTGTAATATAAGACGGGAAGACGAGAGAAGCGGACTGATTTACTCCACTATGGATGAGAATATCTACGATCAGATTGGGGAGGCCATTGACCGAAGGCTTGGAGGAGTGAGGGTTGAAGCCCAACGAAGGGCGGCAGCTGGGCCGTCACCCCCTGCCATGTTCAGGCTATGGCAGGAAAAGGAGGAACCACCGATTGGGGTGGAAGAAGTAGGAAGCGATGAGGAAATGACTCAAGGGCTACGAGGAGGAAGTGATACGGAAGAGGCCATAATCATCGAGTCAAATGATGAGGATGAGGAGGAAAGAACGGAGCCTCTGTCCGTCTTATTTGAGAAGAWKGAGGACTTGYTGGATAAGATGRGGAGGTACCAACAAAAGTTGGTGGGCCTCTGTGAGGAAGTGAAGGGATGGAGGTCTAACATCCCCACAGTATTCCTCTATGACTCCGGCCCTGGGTCAGCGCCTGGGCGACCCAGAGTAAATGTGGTAGGGTCATGCCCACAATTGGGAATGAGGGGGAGACCCCTCACTCCGCAGGCCCGTCTGGCACAGGCAGCGAGAACGAGGAATCAAGCCAAAGCCAGTGCCAGCCAAGAGCCTCCAAGGAGGGAACCCGAACCAAGGAGAAGGAAAGAGGTTGTGGAAGTAGAGGACGACGATGATRAAGAGGAAGAGGACGAGAGGCTGCGTAGAGAAGAGGATCAGAGAGCGGAGCAGCGGGCAAGGAAAAAGGGAACCAGGGGAGAGGCCGAACCGGTCATACATGACGGACCGCCCAAAAAGAAAAAATACGCGGTCCGGTTAGAAGCGGGATTTGATGTAGAAAAGGTGATTGACCGGCTGCTAGAAGGGCATAATGACCTCATGACACTGAAGGAAATCCTAGCGTTAGCCCCGCGACTCCGCGCTGAACTGAAGGGGAGATTATCACGGCGCCTGGTGCCCAATGTCCATCTGGGTACGATCCTGCCCAAGGAGGCAGAGCGGGCAGAGTCTGGTACGAAGATGGACTGGAAGTGCGTAGCCTGCGGTACGGTGGATTTGATGGTGAAGGGTTCCAAGTGCGCAGCAATGGTGGACACCGGGGCANAGATGGACTGGAAGTGCGTAGCCTGCGGTACGGTGGATTTGATGGTGAAGGGTTCCAAGTGCGCAGCAATGGTGGACACCGGGGCAGAGATGAACGTTATTCGGGAGGCGGACGCGATCAGATTCGGGCTGGATATAGACCGTTCTGACTGCGGTATTCTGCATGGAGCCAGCTGTAAGGCCGTGTTTTGCGGGACAACCTCGAATGTGCTCGTCGAGGTTGGAAAGGTGAAGGCCAGGGCATGCTTCTTCATAATGCCGGACGTGGACCATGGAATCCTCCTGGGGAGGTCATTCCTAAGCARGACAGAGACTGTGATGTTCAACAAACATGATGGGACGTTATGCGATCCTGCCTGTGGGAATTATGAAATAATTACTTGCAGGAACATCGGGCCAAGGAGTATTAGGAACCGACCCAATCCAGGATCATTCACAATCGAGGAGTCGGAAGGGGAGCGCAGGAGGCTCTGGCAGAACCCGAAGCAGGAGAGAGGGTGGAAGCATTTTCCCTCAGCTTGTCAGATGTTGGGAAGGCCATGGACCTGGTGGCCGCGCATGAGATGGCAGATCCGGATGCCATCCAGGCCTTGAGGGARCAAGTTYTKGAATGCCCGGAGGCAAGAAGGTTGGAATTGGTATATCGGCTCCCAGGCAGCGGAGGGAACCCCGCATCTGCGCAAACACAATCCGTGAGTCGGTTTTTTTTAGGGGACGGCTCAAGCAGGGTTCCCAAAGGCGGTACAAGAAGGTAGACAGGAAGTGTCGCCCGGTACCCGTCCTCGGTACAGAGGACGAGGAAGCATATTACGAGAGGGAACGAGGGTTGATACGACGAATGAGGGAAAATGCTTTAGCCGGGCCATGTCGTATCAACGAAGGGAACGAGAAGGAGTTGATCATAGGGAAGTCTGATTTCCTGCTGCCTCAGGAGCGAACGTTGATGGTGAAATTAATGAAGAGGAAGTAATGCGCCTATGCGTTTAGTGACGAGGAGCGTGGCAGGCTGGATGTGGACAAGATACCTATGATCCGCATCCACACCGTGCCACACGAGCCTTGGAACATGAGAGGGGCGCGATATCCCAATCCTGACGAGGAAAGGAAGGTGGTGGACTACCTCGACGGCAAAATACGTACTCACGTCGCCGACTATTCAAGTGGACCGCATGCGTCCCCGTGGTTCTGCTTTATTAAGCCTAACGGGACACTGCGGTGGGTGCAGGATTTGCAAAGACTGAATGCAGTGACCGTGCGAGATGCTGGAGGACTGCCGAATGCAGACGCTCTGTCGGAATCCTGTGGTGGAAGGCCTATAATTTCGCTTATAGACCTTTACTAAGGATACGATCAGTTCCCAGTCTACCCGTCGGATAGGCCGGTGACGGCTATGCACACGCCGCGAGGATTAATCCACATGAACGTGGCCCCACAAGGGTGGACCAACGCAGTAGCAATGGTCCAACGGGCCATGATTCGGGCCATGCTGTCAGTCAGCCCCCATATCACACAACCATATATTGACGATTTGGCAGTGAAGGGGCCGGCGATGAAAGAGAGCGACGAAGTCTCACGAGGGGTAAGGCGCTTTGTCTGGAAACACATCCAGGACCTCGAAAAGGTCCTGAGCCTGCTCGAAGAGCATAACCTCACGGCAAGCGGGGCCAAATCCAGACATTGCATGAGGGAAGCGACTATCTTGGGGATGGTTTGCAATGAGAAGGGCCGAAGGCCGGATGTGAAGAAGACGGACAAGATTACTGAGTGGCCAGTTCCGTTCCACTCAATAACTGATGTCAGGAGCTTCCTTGGTACGTGTGGATTTTAGAGGGCCTTCGTTAAGAACTTTGCCGCTAAGACTGTACACCTGAGGAAGTTAGTCCGTCAGGATCAGGAATGGGTATAGGGTGAGGAACAAGAAGAGGTGGTGGCAAAAATGAAGGAGGAATTTTGAGAAGGAAGGTTGGTGTTAGGAGTGCCAGATTATGACGCCACAGAGACGCGACCCTTCATTGTCGAAACGGATGCGGGACCGACTGCCTTAGGGGGAGTTCCAATTCAGGCAGACATGGAAGGAAAGGAAAGACCCTTGCGATTTGAGAGTCGGACTCTCTGTACGACGGAGAGGAACTACTCTCAGTTCAAGAGGGAGAACCTTGCTGTCCTCCATTGTCTGCGAATCTTCCGAAACTATATCTTCGGCAGGAGGTTTATTTTGAGAGTGGATCCGACCGCCCTGGCCTACTCTCTAAGGATTTACGCTCCATCGGATCTGACGGTTGCCAGATGGCTGACATACATCTGGATGTCCAATTTCGAATTGGAACGGATTCCTGGTAGTAAGAACCGGGCGGACGGGCTGAGTCGGATCAACTGGGATAAGCAGGAAGGGGAGGCGGTGGAGANAATGCGCCTATGCGTTTAGTGACGAGGAGCGTGGCAGGCTGGATGTGGACAAGATACCTATGATCCGCATCCACACCGTGCCACACGAGCCTTGGAACATGAGAGGGGCGCGATATCCCAATCCTGACGAGGAAAGGAAGGTGGTGGACTACCTCGACGGCAAAATACGTACTCACGTCGCCGACTATTCAAGTGGACCGCATGCGTCCCCGTGGTTCTGCTTTATTAAGCCTAACGGGACACTGCGGTGGGTGCAGGATTTGCAAAGACTGAATGCAGTGACCGTGCGAGATGCTGGAGGACTGCCGAATGCAGACGCTCTGTCGGAATCCTGTGGTGGAAGGCCTATAATTTCGCTTATAGACCTTTACTAAGGATACGATCAGTTCCCAGTCTACCCGTCGGATAGGCCGGTGACGGCTATGCACACGCCGCGAGGATTAATCCACATGAACGTGGCCCCACAAGGGTGGACCAACGCAGTAGCAATGGTCCAACGGGCCATGATTCGGGCCATGCTGTCAGTCAGCCCCCATATCACACAACCATATATTGACGATTTGGCAGTGAAGGGGCCGGCGATGAAAGAGAGCGACGAAGTCTCACGAGGGGTAAGGCGCTTTGTCTGGAAACACATCCAGGACCTCGAAAAGGTCCTGAGCCTGCTCGAAGAGCATAACCTCACGGCAAGCGGGGCCAAATCCAGACATTGCATGAGGGAAGCGACTATCTTGGGGATGGTTTGCAATGAGAAGGGCCGAAGGCCGGATGTGAAGAAGACGGACAAGATTACTGAGTGGCCAGTTCCGTTCCACTCAATAACTGATGTCAGGAGCTTCCTTGGTACGTGTGGATTTTAGAGGGCCTTCGTTAAGAACTTTGCCGCTAAGACTGTACACCTGAGGAAGTTAGTCCGTCAGGATCAGGAATGGGTATAGGGTGAGGAACAAGAAGAGGTGGTGGCAAAAATGAAGGAGGAATTTTGAGAAGGAAGGTTGGTGTTAGGAGTGCCAGATTATGACGCCACAGAGACGCGACCCTTCATTGTCGAAACGGATGCGGGACCGACTGCCTTAGGGGGAGTTCCAATTCAGGCAGACATGGAAGGAAAGGAAAGACCCTTGCGATTTGAGAGTCGGACTCTCTGTACGACGGAGAGGAACTACTCTCAGTTCAAGAGGGAGAACCTTGCTGTCCTCCATTGTCTGCGAATCTTCCGAAACTATATCTTCGGCAGGAGGTTTATTTTGAGAGTGGATCCGACCGCCCTGGCCTACTCTCTAAGGATTTACGCTCCATCGGATCTGACGGTTGCCAGATGGCTGACATACATCTGGATGTCCAATTTCGAATTGGAACGGATTCCTGGTAGTAAGAACCGGGCGGACGGGCTGAGTCGGATCAACTGGGATAAGCAGGAAGGGGAGGCGGTGGAGAATACGCCCCCAATTGATGGATTTCTGGATCAGGAAGAAGATGTTCGTCTTCATATCAACAAATGGTCGCCGCGAGTGCCCAGTTGTGTAGGCTATCCTATCTGGCAAGCGCCGAAGGGGTATGAAAGGAGGAATGAGCTAGTCCTTAAGCCCTTTGAGGAAGAAGATCCCTGGGGCGGTAAGGATGTTCAGTAGATGATGGAGCTAGCGCTGGCCAGCTCGGATAGCCTGGTGGAGGACATGAGAACGATTGAGGAAGGAGGCGAGAGCCCAGAGACAGGCAGAGAAAGAGGCGTTCGAGTTTAGAGCCCCTACTGAGCTCGCGACGCTGCCAGTGGCAGCGGCAGGCCCAGTCGTACCTTTTGCGATTGAGGAGGAGCTACTGTCATCTAGCAGTGAGCCGACTCAGGGGTCAGCAGAGGGATCCATGGGCGTGCTCCTTGAGGCGGTGCATACTATGCAGGAGGAGGTGAGTTTGTTTTCACCTGAGTAGAGGATAAAGGAGCCTCTTGAGAGAGAGATAGGGATTGAGGAGGAGGGTGTCATCGAGGGCAGACTCCAGAGGATAAGCACGCCTAAGTATGGACCAAACGAGATTGAGGAGCAGCCCATGGCAGCGCCAGGAGAGACACTCGAGAGGAGACCTCAGAGGTTGGACACGCCTGAGTACGTCCCAGCAACAGGGGATTTGAGGAGCAGACTGGGATCTTGGGCTACTAAATCTGGGTCTGGGGGACCGGTTCCTAGGACAGAGCAGCAGGAGATCGTTAGTACCGCAGCTCCTCGATCAGAGCAGCAGGGGGTTGTCAGTACCTTAGCAGAATCTCCTTCATCACCACCTCCTCAGCCCAAGAATAAGAAGTTCAAGAGGAAGGTTGATCAGTTATGTTTCTACTGCAAGAAGGACGTGCATCATGCTCTGGACTGTCTCGAGTTCCTTGAGGATAAGGCAACAGGGAAGGTCTCAGAGGCAGGAGGTAAGATGTATGATAGACAGGGTAGGATAGTAGAGAAGTCCACAGATAGACTTAGGACTCATTTATATAGGCAAAACCAGGAGGAGTTAAGGATATAGTGCCGGTTTGTCTATATAGGTGGGCGAGTATCTTGTGAGGCATCARCTTAGGGTCTATGTGATACCCTCTTAGACATAGAGGATCTTTTTTKATGATTGCTACTAGTGTAGATTTGAACCTTTGTGTTCCTACTGAGTTGGGGTTTTGAGGGTCAGGGTGGTTTAGATGAGGCATGTACATATTTAGGTGGCCTATGCCCTGGCCTTTGAGAGACAGATCTAACATGTATTTTAGGGATAGTTGTCAGTATAGGTTTGGGGTGGCTTGAGTGGAGTGAGTTATGATTTGGAGACAATTTTTTTTCTTCTGTGAGGCTTTTTTATTCCCTGAGTGTATATTATGATGAGGCTTTATTTCAGGGACCAT